GTACAATAAATCAAAGTTACAACATTAGATTAATGAAGATAAGGAGAATATGGTGAAGACACATACCGAGTGATCGATTGCGAATGGAACGGCAGCTGTTAGCAAAAACGTCTTGAAGAATTCATCGAGAAATTGCTAGTGAGTTTCATGTCGTTGTGCTTATAGCACTCGAAATTTATTACTCCACTGTTTCTCTATAAAATTTGCGAAATTTGTGTTCGCTATATTCTTTGTGCACCAAATGAATTATTACAATTAGTTTCCGGTAATCATTAGGATTGTTTTCTTTCTACTCTTAACATCGTATCTGTCAGAATAGATGAAATATGGAAATTTTATCATCACAATCCAGAATTTGAACTAGCCATGTATCAAACAATATCTCAAATTTTCACAAATAATATAAATCATTAAGATATAAATTTAAACTAATATCGAAGAGAGAGATAAAAGGAAATAGTAAATTAAGATCATTCTTGTAAATATATAGTAATAAGTAAAAAAAAATTATGATATTCTATAAAATCTTTCAGTAATGACAGGGAAAAGTGAAACGATTATAATGGATTAAAGGATAAAATAAAATAATGAAATTTATTTTTCAATATATCGATATATTTAAAGAATATATTGAGGATAAATTATATCCTATCTTATCATCTATTGATAGTGGAAAGAATTAGTTATTTGTATACAGACAGATAAGATGAGTATTTATGAAAAAATATTAGAAATAATAGTAGTTTGGGAGATATACGATTTGCTTCATAATGATAAACAAAAAGTTGCTTATCATTATGAAGCAAATCATACCATCATTTAGAAAATGAAATCAAATGTAAGCCAAACGACGATAATATTTTCTATCTTCCACTGAATACTTCGAAATTGGAATAATGAAATTCAATAAGTGTTTAGAGAAAAAACTTAATAACTATGCAATGCATGCATTTTCGACCACTGTCAACAATATCTTTCATTTTTACCCGTTCATTTAGATGAACTGTTAATCATAATTTATCATAAGAGGGAGAGAGAGAGAGAGAGAGAGGAGCAGAGAAGCAAGAGATAAATATTACCACTACTGCTACTACTGCTATTAGTTTTAGCTAAAATAATACAAATTCTATATTCATATACATTAAATACAAAATAGAATGTCAACACTTTCTGCTTCATATCATCAGCAGCTAAATGCATCATTTTACTCAATAATTCGATATAAAACAATATATGTATTATATTTCATCACATTATCATTAAAATGTAAACGTTTCAAAAAAGATGATGTTTTGAGTAAAATAAATTAAATTTTGACAATCTTTTTTAAAAATATAACATACATACATCGAAAAATCTGTAACAAAGGAACAAGTAATTAATGGATGAATGGATGAAATAATACTGATAAATTAACTTTTCCGAAAGGTTATTAACAAAATTAATTTATTCGAAAATCATACTATTTTAGCATTGTGAATATTATGAATGCATCAAAAAATGTTCTGATGATATGATGTAACCTCTACCTCTGTCTTTTTTTCTTGTATTGAATGCTTTTTTAATATTGCGGACAGAGCTATCGCGATATTTATAAATATTATTACATAATATAACACTGATTTTGAATAAACAACTTAATTTGACTGAGTTAAATTTGACATAAGCAATGCTGACTATGAAATCAAGAATTTTGTCGCGTTAATGAAGTATAATATAATTATGTCATGAAGTGTAATATAATTAAAATAGATCCGACTTATTAATTAAGTTTAATTTCAGTCACTTGCCAAACTACTGATCCCATTTTTAATGATAGCAATTAACCATCTGTACTGATAGCGTGTTTTTCATGTCTTTTCTAAGTACTACAAAATACTTTATTAGCAAACAAGGATCACAATATTTCATAGTTCTCAGAAAAGGTATCGAAAAAGACAATATTGCTATGGATCATTAATTGCTATCTCAAAAATGGAATTGATAATTTGGTAATTAAATTTAATTAATAAGACAGAATTCTTCTATATGTAAGAGTCAAATATTGCTCAGGAATTCTTTATATTATATCATGGGCTGGTCTAAGAAGCAGTATGCCCAAATAAATGAGCAAATACAAGCAGGAAAGAGAATCAGGGAAGACTGTACAAATTTTGAAAGGTCAGGAATTAATGGTATTGTAATTAAGTATAATAGGATGGAAGAAATGTTTAAAAGATGGAAGAGGAAGAGCAAAAGTACACGGATGCGAAAAGAAATTCAAATATTACACTTCACTATGCCAACCAATCAATGCTGCATAACGAAAGAAGTATCGAGATAACAATAAAGTATAAGTTAGACTAATTTGTTCTAGTTATACTGTACAATCATTATAAGATTATATTCTGATATACCATCCTTAATTTATCCTTTTGTAAAGGGAAAACTGTATGCATCAATAAAAATCACTTTATCATGTTTGATTGCAAAATTCAACAAACCCTTTGAAAATTTTGAGAGAATGATAAGTATGAATGAAAAAGAATTCTTCACCACAATCTATAAATTACACCACTTGCACAAAAACCATCATCGATATATGTGAAATTATTTTACATTGCCAACATTTACAAATGATGAATTGTTGTCCAATATATTTCTGCACAATTCATGTCCTTTCTGTGAACGTTTTGCAGAAATTTGACAAAACAAGAGCAATTTACGTCTTAGTACGCAAAGTGCATGCATGTCTCATCATTTTTACTTCAAATAACACTTGCATCTCGGACAACAGAGAAATGTTTTATTTTTGTTAGACGCCAAAACAACAGAAAACTTGCAATATAAACGAAAGGCACCAATATGGAAGAAATGTACGGGGAAAATGCATGTCAAGATACGGAAGATATAGGATTTGCTGGTGGATCCAGTCTTTCGATCACTTGATCTATGCACTGAAAAAAGATATCATTTCGAGCATTACTATCTTCAGTTTTCTATGAATTCCATTTCCAGTATCAATTTCTATGCGTTCAGCTGCGGAAATCTTGCTCAAATTTACAATGTTTTCAATGTATGCAAAAAACTTACCGCAAGCGGCCCGTGTAGCTGCATTTCTATCCAGCATGGCGTCGAAGTGACATCTTGACGATGATACTCTGGACCTCCCCATCCTTTTACGAATGATATTCGAATAAAACACATTTTTGTCAATTCATAAACATTATTGTAACCTTCTCGCTCTGCTCGTCGCAGCATCTAAAGAATATTAAATTAATTAATTCGTTTGACTCATGATAATGTAATGTTCAAAAAAGGAATATATTTCTGAAAGCCACAAAAAACAACTGTGTGATCAATTACAGGATAGATTCAACACTGATTTGGAAACATTAGTACAGTCAGTATCGTTTTATCTGTACACAAAACTGCAGGCCATCAATAAAAAAGGTGTTAAAGCAAATGATCAGACAAACATTTTTATACCAGTTTATTATTCGAAAATCGAGCTACAAAATTTGCCACTGAAAATCATAACAACCTACCTGCACAAATAACTGATGATGAAATATGTACATAAAATGTCCAGGAGGTATCCTACAAACAGAACTTGGCATACAATTAAGTTTATAATTGCTATTTCTAGACTGTACGAATACTGGAGCATCCGAAAGATTCGTCACAATTACATCATGTGTTGTTTCTTCACATGTTAATTTCACACCTGTAAAAGATAACTGTTATTTAGTAAATACTCTTGATATGGTATATTATCAATCATATCATATATATTCTATATTTGTTGTTTACTATAATACCATCTATATCTCTCACATAAAGCCTGTTCACCAAATATCCACCATTACCCTAATTTAATTTCAAAAGAGAGTATAAACTAGTCCTATTTGGGCTCCAAACCCACAAGGTTCCAAATTCTGTCAAGATAGTAGGGAAAAAATCGTTTTCTTAAATGACAAGATTTTATCTATTGATTCATTTAGTTCCTTAGCAAATAATCTTTTTAGATTTTCTAAAAATTCTTCACCTTTTCCTATGTGCTTCCGAGTATTTTCTATGGTTGCATTTCGATTAACATTAGTCAGCAGGCCAAGACAGATTCGATCATCAGAATTTGAAGGGTCCGTAAATCCATCAACAATTACTTCCAGATTTCTTATCTAAACATCCAGATGTCAATAATTCAACTATATTCATGGTTAAAATCTCGATCAATTTTTCAAATCAATTTTCATTCAGAACTCCATCGGTCGATACATATATTATAAGAACCTTTCAGTATTTATAAAGTATAATTTTATGGTCCAGAAAAAAATAATAAAGCGAACCTTGAAAAGTTCACCGACACGAGAATTAAGCTCATAATAGCCAAGTGAACACCAGAAATTCGGTTCTGGATAGCAATAACCCGAATCTACTTCCGACGATATTATCTCACAGTCCTCGCTGAACACCGACAAAGGACTCGCTGAAAAATAAAATTTTCTTCGAACTCTTCCTAATAAGTACGTTTTTTAAAAATAAGACAACTGCAGATATAAGAATTGTACCGGAAGAGTAAGAAGAAGTATCGCGATAAGGACAATATTCCATTGGGGCACTTAGCGACGAAGGCATTTCAAGCGACTGGTGATGTCCATACTATAAATTTGCACGTTACTATGAATGAAAGCATGAAATTCAGAACGGATTCTTAATTAACGATGGTTAGTTTAAGAGATAATATATATACTTACCATGTTGGGAGGCATGGAACTCACTGATGGTGGTATATCTCTATGAAGAATATTGTGAAATGGAAGAGAATGTGGAACTGCTACTGGGATGATCTGAAAATAACTGCATTAACTTAAAAATATTTTTCTGAATGTTTCATGGTAGCAAAAATGGTTAAGATCAGGCATACAAAGAGCCAGTGTATGAATAAATTAAAAAGTGCACTACTTTACGAATCGTTTTTTGGAAATCAATGAATATAAAGTTTCTTTCCCAACGTATAATTGCTATCGTTAGTGATCGAATAGTTCTAACAATAGCCGATCATCACTGACGAGCAGGAGTTCTTGCAAATTCTAGAACCTTGACAGTCGATAAATGTTGCCAGAATGTTTAAGATAATATCAAAAATTAATTTTAATGATATCAAGACAAGAATTTATTGTTATGGTGTCGTTAAAACATCTGCAAATAGTACCTGAGACTCGATCTTTTGGTAATGGTAAGGATTAATACAAATTAGAGGCTGCTTGCTATCATACGAATATAAACATTCAGGAACGGACTTCAGCTCATGATGCGATTGCAAATCACGCCATCGCCATACTTTACAATATATTACATGCGGAAGTCCTTTTCGATGCGATACCTCAAGAAACACGATTAAAGAATTATGTAATATTATTTCAAATTAAGTTTTCCCCTTAAGGTTAACCACTTGATATTATATACACATACTCTGGCCATTGTCTACTAATTCTTCATAATGCATATTAGAAACATAATGAAATATGAGTGAGCGATGTGAATTTTATTTAATGCATACAAAACATACATATGATTCAAAGATATAAGAATATCCAAATAATAATTTCTTACTAACAAACATCCATCCTAATAAAAAGAAAAAAACTTAGAACTATATGAATATATTAGTAAAAACGCACACATAAAGAATATATAAAAGCACCTGAAGTCGTCCATCAAGTGAACGAGGTATTGTGACACATTTACTATGAGATCCGGGATTTGCAAGTGCAAATTCAAGGTCCTCAATTGTACCTTGACCATTTTTCTTCTTTTTCAGTTTCTTGACTAGAGAATCCACAGCCTAGAAAAAAAGGAAAAGAAAATACAACTTGCTGGATTTCACTGTATTTTAAAAAATTTTTAAAAATCAGCATGAATGGAGAATAATATATACTTTTTAAGAATATTTATGAACTAGAAAATTAAATAGAACTTAAAGACTTGATTTATGCAGATTACACTTTCTGGTGATTTCTCTATTGATTGGTGTATCCATCACAATGAATGAAAAGAAAAAAATAAAAGAAATTGCTCAGAACACTAAAAAGTACATCCGAGTACAATGAAAACTGAATTATAGCTTAGCATTTTAAATTATAACATTCTTCAACGAAAGATAGTAGATAATGCTGAATAGCAGTGGTTGAAATGGATGGCGGTGTAAACAATTTGGTTAAAAAAAAGATAAGAATGTTCTGCGTTTTTAAATTGTAGAGAACATTATGTCCGTTATCACTTGTAAGAGAGGAAATGATAAAATCTTGCCACCAGAAACTGTCAAAAAAAGAGCCAAAAGCAAGAATTAAAGAATTACATCATTTCCAAACTTGCTCTCATTTTTCACATATCAAATCTATTCATTCTTTTCTTCTATCTACATCTTCACAATCTTTTTCCTCAATCAAATAATAAATTTCGATTAGAAAATTACTTAGGATTCTCGGATGAATACTGGGCTACTTTCATCATTAAAATATCACTGATATAGCGCATTTTTGATGAAGAATATAATGTAGTCTAAAGCATTATGTTTCCCAATAAATTTCAATGCTTCATATTGCTTCTCTTTGACTTCCACAATCTTAAGTAAGCCATTTGGCACAACAGCTACCAGTGAAAAAGCAGCACTCACTGAGAAAGATAAAATTAGATTAGCTGCTAAACAAAAAGTATAACCACTATTTCAAACCTTTTCTGCCCATTTTTCTTCCTCATCACCTTGCTTCCATCCAAGCAGCTTCTTCACTGCAGGTTCGTGAAATAGGCTGCTCATCATATCCTGTAAAACAATGATTCAGTGACTGTTTTTGTCACTAAATTTGATAACAGAATGACCCATGGTTAACTGAAGCATCATTAAAAGCACACAAACACAGCAACATTATCAGCTTCTTGGAGATAGTGAAATAGGACACAAAATAATAATTCGCTACTCTTGAATAGATGTATAGATATATAAACCGCTCTTATAAGGAACATATTTTCAAACATTTAAAATATATTTTAACAATTAGAATATCTCTCATAATCTAAACATTTCATATCATCAACAAAAAAAAAGATCAGGGAAGGATACAAGGGATCATAGCAAATAGTCATCTACATTGTTTTGCTGATAATAATGAGAATGAGTAGCAAAAAAAAGGAAAGAGAGGGTGATGGTGATAGTTGATAAGTGCTCACGATAGTGATCCACTGCATTCGCAGTACACTCTATCCATTAAAATGCGTCTGCTGCTGTATGGCAAAATTATCAAAAGGGGAGAGAATGACGTGTTATGATGTATTATCATTGAGAAATTTCTCGTATATTACCCGGAAAATTAAATCATTCCGGGAGTGAAACAACAAATACTTTCTTACTTATGCTAAAATTACTTTATGAATACTTTGAATGAAAACATATTAACAAATCAGTCAATTGACTATTAGCATGATCATGTGCTGGACATGAATATCACGAAATCACTGACAATCCATTGTGGCATTAAATTTACCAAATAGTTACTTATAAACAGATAGAATTACAGGAAACGAAAGGCTGGCCTCAATAATTTCAAATATTTCAGCAACTAATCTGGCACAAATGTTTTTCATATAACAGTTTGCTTCTGCACTCGGCTAACTGATACATATATCATATAACATCAAATATCCCAACTACACATGGCTCTTAATGTTGAACTTATACTGAGTTCCTTCATTAAAATTTTTTTGCACCGCGGGAATATGAAATTTACAGTGACCCTATAATAACATTAAGTCTGCTATCTGATCGATAAATATCCTAAGATTGAAGATAGACATGCTTATTCGGCGACATTGTATCCATAGTGACAAATGTATCTATCGTAACAAAATATGAGTGGGCAATGAAAAACAGTATAATTATCGGCAATAATAATATTTCATGAAGTATGAGTAACAGAGTGTCCACTTCACTGCACAGTATTGGTCAGAGGAAAGAGATATGAGTGACAAATTATTGTGTGCTTATTTGCCTGAGATCATGCTACTTTTCACTCTTCTCAGCAACTAATTAAAAGCGAGTTATGCGAAAACTAACAATTGCATGGCACGTGTCCTAATAACCTTTGACCTCCATTAAGCAAAGAGATCTGCATATCATCACTATTAATAGTGTATTTCTTACAATTATATTTATTTGGTAGATTCCTTTTCCTTCTCTCTCCCTCTCTTCCTCCCTTCTTTTTTGGATAAACAAAAGTTAAATAAAGATGAAATTTCCTCTCTCTCTCTCTCTCTATATATATATATATATATAT